GAGATCGAGAGTTGCAAGAGTTATCGGTCGAGCTCGTTAAATTTAACTTTGACTTTTCGAGGCGCGGGAGAGCCCGTGGGACGTAACGGTGCCCGCAATGACGGACGGCCTCCGCTTCCAACACAAATCACGTACGCCCCTGCCTCGCCTCTCCCAAGAATTAAATGATTCCGCCCCGATCTTTTATCGACTGAGCGCCGACCGAGAGAAACCCCGAGCGCTGAAAGCACCGAAAGCCCGACTTCGTCTTCCCCTCCTTCCTCGCGAACACACCGCCTCCTAGATTCGCTTCCAATGCCTCACTCGCTATGGAATCGATAAAGAGCAATGAGTAATGATGAAAAGAGATTCTAACCTAACTTTTGCTCGAGAATGAAAAAAATATTCGATCCCTAGTTCGCTCTCGAGATGACGTTCGGTGTCTTTGAATCGACTTGATATAACGTGTCGTCCCGTTTATGAGTCGTGAAGGTGGAAAGCCTGGCTCTAAAATAAATTCATTGTAGCGTAAAATGGGTTGGCGCTGTGAATATTAAGGCGATAATGATAGCAATATGCGCGGTATAACCGAGCCGATGATAATCACTTGGTGGTCAATCTTGGTGGGTGATGCGAGGCCGCAAGACAACGTCGGCGCGTAGAGGCCGAAAGGATGTCATGACCTAACCTCGGCTGTCGGTTGCGCGGCAGCGTCATTAATACGGTAGCAATTTATTACGCCGCTGTCTGACTGCCTGTCTGCCCCGACAGTGTCTTCGGGGTGTAGGCGTCGTCTGTGAGGCCGAATCTTGCGACAACACACGTGCACGCGGGCGCATCTGACAAGAGATAACGAAAGGAGGAGACAATGCACGGGTCACGTAAAATTCTATGGATGATGAAGCGTTTGGAAACCGGGATGTGGAAGAAGTTCGTTTAAAGAGGACGATCGAGGGATTAAAAATTATTATCTCTCTTCCTTGGAATTGGAAAATGGTATATGTTAGAAGGTCAATAAATACTTGGTGTTTTTTAGAAGAATTTTTCTTTTATTTCACAGTCTTCTATGGCAATGATCGATTCTTGGTATATTTTGTGATAAATTTTTGTCTTATACTTAAATGTCTTTTTTCTAAGAAATGTGAATTTGAGAAATTGAGAAAGTTTTACCAATCAATTAAATTTTACCATATAAATTACGAGGATTTAAATCTTAAGGAAAAATATTAAATGAATAATTTTATTAAACTATATTTTCGAACAAAGTGTAACTTTATTGTAAAGAGATATCGTCCGCGCAAGATAGATATATATTTATAGCGAAATATTTCACATATTGTTCCTTATTATATAATAAAGATAAGAATATTGAACGTAATAAAAGTGTCCTGAAAGCGACACCAGATAAAGATGTTTATATAACGGCATAGGAAGCGTATGCAAATGGGCAAGAGAGGGCGTCAAAGAGGGGAGATTTATTCGTGGCACGAGAGCGGTGCCTCCGTGTCAGAAATTCACTCGGTCATCAGGGGAACGCTTCCTCCAAGATCTCGTTCAACAATGCGTTTCTTTCTTATCTCCGCTCGAATAATTGATAACGAACACGAAAGTTTCGCAGACCGTTCGAACGAAAGCGGAAAGTGGGCGGCGAGAGGTCGGCCATGCTATTTGGGACAGCGCATTCCCAATGGTGCGGCCAATTAGACGTTATTCAAGACGAGGGGGGACCTTTGACTCCGCGGAAACTCGATGGCCAATAAAACTTTACTCCTCGATTATCGGATGAAAGTTTATTATACACGCTACGATTTGCCACGATAGACGTTCCTCCTATGACTCTTGTGTGGTTGCTATGCACGCCTATGTCAACGAAACACGCTGGAATATCGTGAACATTGATGCAATGCATCGCGCAGTGAAACAAACACGCGCGCCCTCAGGCGGCACGCCGTAATAGGTGCAATCTAATTCCTGCACGTGTCATTCTCGTGTCACTAGGATATCCGGAGTCTTGTTCCTCGCGATATTAATGACGTTCTCTATCAAACCACAAAGCGTTTGATTAAAATGGATGTTAATGATTTTGGAATTGTTGAGAGGAAAGGAATTTCGAGTGAAATTTTAATTCTTGTGGACGATAGAGGAAATCAAGGGGAGTAGGAAAGAAGACATCTTTGGTGGAATGTGAACTTATATGTCAGAATTATATTTATTTAATTTAAAAGATTTTTAAATGCATCTGTTATACATTTGCCTGTTTTAAAATAATTTATCAATTAAAATATTATAGATAATAGATGTAATTATGTAACGTAATTGATTGTGGCTTATTCTTACTTTAGGTTTTTATTATTTATTGTAAGATAAAATTTAATTGGCGTTTATCAAAATCTGTGAAGAAAGAATATTTTATAAATAACTTTTGTAAAATAAAAGTGAATATTATATAGTAGATAATTTTAAACAAAAAATTTATGATTCGTTAACCGATTAATCTCTTTATTTAAACACGAACGAATGGATAGAATGAATTCAATATTCTAGTTTTCGAGATCGTATCAATGGAGCGAGATATCAGTGACGTTATATCAGTTGATATTCGTGAATTCGAATATAATCGATTAAACAATTTCACGTACTGTTTAAAACATGTCCAAGGTTGAGATTGAACGATCGTGTTCATGAATAATATTATCATAATACTTTTGTATTTTTTTTCGAAAAAGAGAGATGATATGATACCGGAAATTATCAAGCCCACGTATGTAATGCACGTCTTAATAAATTTATATATCCCATTTCGATTATATAATATTTATTGTTAAATTTTATCGTGTATATATTTTTAAATACGATTTCCCGTATTTCAAAGATCAAATAATTTTAATAAATATTAAAATATTGTTTTGTATATTAGAAAAATAATAAGAATTAATCGTTAATGCAATTTTATTCTTATTAAAAATATATAAATTATAATGATGAATTGTACCATGATTTCAATTTATAGAAAATATTATCTCGTATTTTGGGATGAAATGCAATGTAATTGTAATTATGAGAAATACTGTATTTAAACTAATCCCACCTATATTGATGGTATTTATGCGACGATATCAGTGATTAGTTTTGTCAATTATTATTGGGACTATTCCTGTTATCAACGTGGATAATTAATATTCCGATCCATTTCAATCAACGCGTAATATTGGTAATAATTTCTAATTATTTAATGGCGATAACGAGTTATTTTATATTGTGCATAGCAGATTGTTTCACGGCATAATATTTATTCAAGGTTTTTTTTAATATAGTTCGATAAAGTTGAACTTTTTTGTTACACAAAATTATTCAAACTCTACGATGGATTTAAAAAGTAATAATACTTTTGCAATTTTAAGGGAGGAAGAGAAAAAAGAAATCTCTCTAGAAATTGAATTTAAGCGAGATACCTCTGCAACGTATCTCTGCAGAAATTACATTTATGGAAATATGAAATACAGCGAATATAGGATTTCATATCAATTTTTAAACGCAGTTAGAAATAAAATTTACAATTGGGACGATATATCATGAATCAATCGTAAAGTAACTAACAACAACTGCTCTTTAATATTAATTTTTATACCGAGACTGAAACAATTATCTAATTATTAAATTTTACCTTTAATTTTAAATTTAATTCTATGTGTAATTAATTTTATCATCGAAATATTTCATTATTTATAACACGAAGATTAATATATTCTACAATAGATGTATAAACCAAAATTGTTTGATTGAATGAAACAATTTATATACGCTCATCGTATCGTATTCTAAAAATTCTTTAATACTTTTATGTTGCAGGTAAGCGATGCATTTATTTTACGAGAATTATCAAGACGCGCATCCTTGAAAACACGTAAGAATTTATATCCCTATTTGTTGCATGTAAGTAGTCAAGTTACTTTCATGTTCAAAAGAAATATGTACTCGTCTGTGCATGTTATAAATATCGAGAGAGCAACTAGATTAATAAATTCAAAGATACTGATTTCGAATATCGAAGTAACTGTATCTCGGAATACATATAAATTCAAATAGAAAAATGAATAAATAACAAACAATATCTATACACGCAACAAGATTATTGTTATCCTAACAATATGTACACGATTCAAAAATATAATTCAATTTTAACAATTTTACAAATCTACTAAATTACCTAATCACCGATGAAAAAGAAACAGATGAAAACGATATTGAAAATTATCTAAACTAAACGCATAATTTCACTCGATAAAAAGTGATTAACCTATATATAAAGTCAATTGAAAAAATAATTAAAGTTCCACGCTAATTACAACTGCATAAATATGCAAACAAACTGAAAAATCAAATATAACACTACGATATCTCTTCAAAAAGGGGAAAAAGAAAAGAAAAGAAAGGAGGAAAGATCCGTCAGAACACATATTTCCACCAAGTTAACCCTGCATTTCGCGTGCAATATAATCCCTCGCGAGGAGTGGAGCGTGCGATCGGACGGACCGGGCGGAGCGTTCTTTAAACAACGACGGCGCAGACCCATTTCGAAAGCGGAACTCATCGAGAAAGCGTGTTCCAACTTTTGATACCTCGCCTCG